TAAATCAGTAGTATGAGATGTATTCACCCAATTTCGTTTAAGGTGATGAAGGACTGGTAGAAGAAGAACTGGGGTTTCATTTGTCTAAAGGCTAGCCCGGCTGCCCATAAAGCCACACTGGGCGCGAATCCCTATGAAAGTCCTGATGAGAATATCATAAGGTGAGGTGAACACTGCAATCTAACTCCGAGTGAAGTTTGGTACAGAATTAGACAATCCACTCAAGTAAATGTAAATTGAAACAACGTTTCTTCCTAAGTTGGTTCTTGTTACAGAATTTTGGTCTAGAATTGAGGCCTGCGAATGAGAACATTGAGGAACATATCGCAAAAATGAGAACAGTGTTTAAATAGTCTAAAGAAGCTCAAAAGGCGTGGGCGCTAGAAACCAAATTCTAGACATAGGCACGCAATGGACTTATTAGGATTTTGTTCAGAATTTGTTGGATAAGAGGCTAGAATGAATTTCACTTTGTTGCACACCCAAAATATCATATTTACTGATGAGTTTCAAGCAAAGCAAAGCAGTTCGAATCCCGTCAGGGGTTCGTTGTTGGGGATACTTTATTTGGTATATAAAGTGCATGAAGAAGAGATTCCAAGGTCGATCTCACCAGAAGAAAACGGTCAATTCAGGTTTGGATCTGTTACTACCTTTAGATTGATGCAGTCCCCATCCATCATAGCATGGACATCATCAGAGCGGGAACTTATTCTTGATGTATATCTGAGGATGTACATCATGTGATGGACGAAAGGGTAATCCGTGTTTACCCGAACTGATGGAGGATGTCATGCAGACTGCGTCGGTCTGAAGGTCGTATTAAAGCCGAATGGTTGTGGTACAACGAAAATCGGTCGTAATCTTTTGGTGAGCTCGACCTCTAAGTCTCTTCATCATGCGTTTTCATACGAAACGAATGCCTCCCCAACAAGGTAATCTTTGGAGATTGAGCGGAACCCAACCACTCTTCTTATCCATAATTATGATCCCTTCGAACCAGACCAGCTTGACAAGGCAAAATGAGTAAACTAGGCCGAGATGCAAATTTGGAAGCCATCCTTCCACTTACCCGACTCAACGGTCAATCTTGATGTCCGGTTCACCATTACATTTGTGCCCAGTCGACTTCCTGCGAAAAAGCAAGTTGCTCACTTTTTCCAAGTTGGCTGATCCACCTTCACACTTCACAGTCCTACGTTTCTTCCGCAGCTCCTGTTTCGTCCAGAGCACATCCAACCGGCGGTTGATTTAGGTCCGACAGATGGATATCTTCAGTTGGTGTCCAAGGTCGGGAAGATAGTATTGAGATCCTTTGGGAGTCAGAAAGAGAGCGAGATGGGTAAAGGTATGGAGAAAGTGGGAGAGAGCGAGAGAAGGACGCAAGGGTAGGTAGAAAGAGAGAGAAAGAGAAAGAGGGAAAAGGAGAGAGAGAAGAGCCTTAATGAAAAACTTGTTGATCTGAAAACTGGTTGGGGTCACAAATACATCCGATGCATTCAAGTCGTCGAAGCATTCCGCTAGTTCAGATAACTTTCATATGAGCATAGCTAGCCCAGCTGTACTTTGTCATCATATTCATGCAGCCGATAATTGCTAACGTCTCTTGTGTCTACAGCCTGGTTGGCCGTTCGTCAGCGATAGGCACCTGGGCATCCGAAATCACACCCACCAGAACACACATAACATGCATGTCTGATGCGCGCATGCAGGCAAGCACATGTGCAAGCGGACATGCAGACTTGTAGCCACATGTATGCCGACTTTTGGCCGAGCAGACAAATGTCGCAAATGATGCCACGGCTGGACGTGGTACCGGACGAACAGGGGGCCAAGTGGAGGCCGGCACATGAGCCTCGGCACAGACAAGAAGTGAGTATGCCACGAGGTGTGGCGAGTGGGGAGTGAAGGGGATAAAGGAACGACAAAAAAGAAGAAGAAGAAGAAGAAGAAGAGCCAAACGGACTGATCAGGCTGGGCGAGGCTGAGTACATGCAGGAGGAATAGGCATGTCAACGCATGTGTGCAAGCGATTTTGGTATGCCTCGACCGGCCACCAGGCAACGAGGGTACACGGGCAGACGATACAAATACCTCGCGTGTTGATGGCGCGCCTTGATCCTCTCGATCGTTGCTACACACTCAGCTGTCATGGTACCGCTCGGTAGCCAATCGGGCCGTCTTTACCTCTCCGCCCTGGGCAGACGAGACCGGCTCGAACTGAGTGTGTCCGGCGACAGTCTCTCTGCTCCTGTCTGCGCCCAAGCGTCGAACTGGACGGACTCGAGCGGACCTCGAGCCTCGGACCAGCGCCAGAAGATGTCGTCTGTTGGAGGTGGGCTGGCCGGGCGATGCTCGACACCGGGGCCGGATGGCAACCGGGCAGAGGACTCGAGCGGAATCCGTTAAAACACGCAATGACGCCCAAAAGTTCGGCTGGTGCAATCTGATTGTCGCCCTCTCGGCCTGCCATACAAGAACACACCAAGGCACACATGTTAGGGTCAGATCGTCTTCCTACCCTTCCTTCCTTTTCGCTGTAACGCCCTCAACACGATATTGTTATGGCTGAACCAAATTACCCCATGCCAAAACTCTCTCTCTCTCTCTGTCGCACACACACACATACATACACACACACACACGCATATATATATACATATATGCACTATCAACATCTCGACTAAGCGGGATTTTGGCGATTCAGGCAAAATTGTATGCACCCGACTTACCTGTCCATGGATGAGGCGTAGTCTCAGGTTGCTATGGCAAGTGGACAACTGAGGCATTTGAGTGTCGGGTGATGACCTAGTCTTCTTTCCTTTCCTCTTCCTCTCTCTCTCTCTCTCTCTTGCTCTCTACATGAACGTAGATTTCCTAAGTCCTCATTAATTTTAGCATTTCTCATGTAGAGGCTAGTTTGTCTGTCCCGGCTCCTCTTTCGCCTTCTCGAATGCCTCTATTTTCCATAAAAGGCGTCACCGGTGAATGCATTCAAACCGATACTAGTTTTATGGTTAATTTACCCATTTTCTCGACGGTGCCGAGATCTTAGCAACCACGAGTTGTCATCACGTGCTCTTCTCTTGACTATGTTCCTACTAGACTAGACACTGTTTAGCCCCGCCTCTGGCGACAGAGCTGGTGGCTCTGATGACAGCAGAAATGCTTTCTGTCGGTACTGGCAAAGGTAGAGAGTGACTGCGTGGCTAAGTGGAAGTTGGCTGAAAGGAAAAATTAATTTCAACAGGAGATTTAGCCATTCTTGGCAGCTGATAAGCGATGAAGGAGGAATATTAGGCTTTTCCACAATGACATGAATGGGCCTCAGGATACAAATGGATTTCACTTAGCCTAGCCTCGCAAAATGAATTCCCATCCAGAATGAACGGTAGATTCAACCTCGCTCGACTCTCATCAGCTCGTCTAGTAGGAATATTGAGTCCGGGTTGTGCTAGTACAGCGTACAATCTCGAAATGTTGCCACCATGCCACACGGTCACAAAGGCTAATCGGTCATAAGGCAGAAGTATTTACCTTTTAACTCGACAATATTACTTGCATTCGAAGAGAGTAGCCATAGCTTTAATCATGATCCACCAATAGTCTCGAAATACTACTCATTTCGAATAAAAGTAGCACTGTCGATTTGAAGGGCAAATACGTGTCGTTTGGCAGGACTTCTTGATATGAAGAAAAGCTGGGTTTCCAAGGTTGGATGGTCTCATCGGAAACCGAATATGGATTGTCTTGAAATAAGAGGCTGCTTGAGTGTGAGGTGTCTTCGGCTCACTGTTCTGCTTCCACTTGCTTTCGTCTATCAAATGACAGACATCGTTCGGTTAAGAAATTATACTTTACGAAATCGCGCCGCACTATCGTAAACCAAGATAAGAGCACATTAGTGTGCTATATCGCAAAGTATGGTTTATGGCTCACATGATAAACAAAAACTTTGTGTGATTTCATCGGGGTGGCAAGGTCTTCAATCTATGATAGTCAATCCCCCCTTGGTTTTAAGTGAGACAAATTTAGAATATGAGATCTATTCATCCTATTTCGCTTAAGGTGATGAAGGACTGGTAGTAGAATTTTCACACACA